AGAAGCAGGGAGAAGAATAATCAACTACTAGCCTGGCGTAGTTGATACCGCTCTGAGGCGGTGGGACTGCCGGGGAGCCGAAGCGGTTAAGACGATCACTGATATAGACTAGAAGCCGGAAGGGCGATCGAAGTAGTACAAATTGAGTCCCACAGAAACTCTAAGCTCTTAGCATTATATACCCCGATCACGTGATTATTGAGGCCATTAAATTTCTCTGTGAACATAATTTTCTCCAAGGAATTTTATGTTTTGAGAACTAGGCTTTCTCATGCATTTGTGAGAATGATAGCTACAAAAGAATGTAAACATAGCTAGCTACTTGCCTGGAAATATGGGAAAAGTCGCATTTTGCGACAGGGAGGCTGCAATGCATCTACTCCGCAGATGAACGGTACGGTTTCGTAATTAATCAGAAATTTGGAAATGCTGCTGAAGACTCCAATAACTGAAACTTGTGCTAGGAATGCTTACTTTAGTTCTACAGTTTATATTCTGTTGTTTAGGTGGAAACGATAGGCGATGGATACCTCTGTGTAAGTGGACTCCCTCATAGGAATGGACAGCAGCACATAAAAGAAATATGTAGCATGTCACTCGGATTCATAAACAGCCTCAAGAGTTTTAGAATACCTCACTTGCCTCAGCAAGGCGTTAACTTGAGGATAGGAATGCACACAGGTTGGTTCATTTTGAATAATTGCTAAGAAGGCAAACAGTGAAACTGAAATTGCTTTTACTTTGTTAGTAAACAGTTCCCATTAATCTTAACCTGGTGTGGTGTATACAGGGCGGCTAGAAATTATAGTAACAAGAACGTACCGTATACAATTCCAAAATTAAACGGATGTATTTTTGAGTGTAGCTTTTGCGCATTTGGTTCTATTAATACGATGTTCATTCTTTAATTTTACCACTCCAAATTTACCTAGTTTGGATTGTTTAAGCCTTTAGCTCTTCATGAAATAACGACTCGCTTGCTTCGTCAAGGTGTCTGGTGGTGTTACGTTGCAAAGCGAATCAGGATCTCCGGGAAGTCTGCAGCAACCACAATTGCAAAGAATAATCAATTGGCTGTTAGGATCGACTGGAATGAACATGGGAAAGAAGCTTCTGTTGTTACCAAGAACAGTTTATAAAAATAGAGCGCGAAACAGCGATGGCACATTCAACAGCACATTCAACAAGTCGTTTGCTCCCGTGTTAGCGATATGGTTTACTTATTTGAGAGTAGTCGCGAGGGCATCACCCTTACGGAGGCATGTTGGCGTAGAAAAGCTCAATTCTCCAGTGGGACGAAACTGAAAAGGAAATGGGACTGGACAGTGGCGCTCTCAGTAGAGTGTTGCCAAGTTTATGGCTGATGAGGAAGGACTCACAGCCGAGTTGGTCTTGAATAGATAAAGCGAACAAAATCATTTTGAACAGACCAAAGCTCAGTATCTCAGACATCACCAAGTCTAGAAACAGTGAAGGTTTGTGCAGTAAACAAACCAAAACACTTCATTTTTAACTTTTGTTCTATACGCATAAAATAGAAAAGAAAGGATTGTCTTGAACTTTCCCTCACTCAAGTAATTCCTAGAAATAAGGATAGAGAACAACTTCAATGAACATTCCTGCACACGGGAAAATTTGCGCGAAGTCTTGCCAGCTGGACTGCTCAGAGATTGCTGCGTTTGGAAAGTGGCCACCTAGGTTCTCAACTCAAATTCTGGCTCATGCTGTGCGAAGAGTAATGAGAACCAGCACCTGCTGCTTATGTATTGGGTTGCTCATAATTCCTGGCCGAAATCTCCAGAATCATTTTTCTTCATGTCAAATAAGTGTCATTACGAAGTAAATTACTATGTTGAAGGAGGCATCAGTACCTTAAACAAGGATGTTCCAGAAGGCCAAAGGGCAGTGGAGTAAGTAAGTAGGGATCGAAATGGATCACGACAGGAGGCGTTGGGTAACCGAGCATTTTAGAAGACTTGAAGGGGTGCGTAGGCAGACCGGGCGCTATGTTGCTCAGTCTTTGCTCGGTTAGTACCGGGTATTGGCGCGAATGTAACGGAATGCGATACAAGCCTGCAATTTTGCCTATCTGAGCCCAGGCACTTTCGATGGAGATCGCCCTTCGCGCTGTGAATACGGAAGTTCGCGGGACGCTACCGGCCTGAAGATTTCGTATAGCAGATACCGGGCAGCCGATGCACACGCAGCTGTCTGATGAACGGGCTGCATCAGGGTGGAAGGTTCGATGGGGCGGATGCACGCTGCATTGACCCGAGAAGCGGGAATGACTTGCAGAATTTTCATTCTGCGCAGGCATAGCCTGGACTTTTCCCAGTCGGTCACCAGTGGAGATGAGCCATGAGTCCACTACGACAACAACACGCGGCACGCCTTGTGGTCATCTCGCAGCCTGAACCCACCATCTCACCCAAAACCTGCCGCCTTTGTAGAGAATATTCCCATTTGTCGGACTGGTTGGGGTATCACTTTTGAACAGCGCTCATTCTATAGACACACTGCGAACTACCATGGAACGAACTCTCGAGGTTGGCCACAGCCATTCGGAACGTCTCAAAATCTCCTTCCTCCGGATGAACGCCTGACCTTGCAATACGAAGATAACTCGCCACCTTCTGAGGGAAACTCGCTCGATCGCGATACCACATCTATCGTATGGTTCTGACATTACTTCATCGCACTATCCCCTTCTCGATGCCCTGAAGCAGTACCTTCGAGAGGAAAGGGTCACTGAATACCACCAAAAAACTCCCGAACCAGGGTCGGTCCTATCGTTGCTACTTTTCGAAAAATTTTTACGACCCCCCCCCCAAGGTGGATTTGGTACGACCCCCTTCTCGACCCTCGACCACCATATTCCTCTCTATAGTATCACTCTCACCAACCGCCCACTTTTTCCTCTCTCCAAAAATGTCCGTCGAGCGGGGGTATATAGTTACTCTGAAACAGTAATTTACCAAACTTGACAATGCCCTAAATTCACAATTTACCACTTCTACTATATCACGCTGGCATTGGTCTAGGGGGATATTACACGCGCTGACAGCAATTTTTCCGCGCACTCTCTATATCTCATGATTCTTTCGATCGAGAAGTACGACCCCTCTACCAACTCATTCAATTTTACGCCCC